TTTGAATTTGGGCTTTGTAGAACAGGATAATGACCACTTTTGTTTAGCAGACTTTACCCAATTATTTTCAATGTGTATTGCTCCTGAGGGAAAGACCCATAAAAGTACAGAATGTAAAGCATCTGTTCAAAATGGAGGAGACAGACTTATGGCAAGTATCCATGTGGTATTACTGGAATTCAAACATATGAAAGCTGTCACAGGAATGAGTATTAAGGTACTTACTGGAAGTGAAAAATTAAGTCCTATAGAAAGTAAATCTTATTTGGAAAATTAATTTGACAGTGAGGACTGAGTTTGCCCACTAAGTTATTTATGATAGATATTTCCCATGAATTGAGCAAGCTAAATCTAAGCTCTAATGGTTTGATGTAAATACGGCATGTGATCAAATAGAAGAGTTTTATTTTATATGTGAAAATATGGAAATTAGTATTTCATTTCTCCCAACTCCTTCTCAATATATCAGGTTAAGCAAGTTACATCTAAGTGAAAGATTTAGCAGTATAATTAATAGTCTTTTATTAAGTCTTGATAAAATCTTTTCGGTATACTGCCCAGAAACTAACTGAAGAATGACTATAACAACTGGATAACAAGTCCTTCAACAATATAAGTTCTTTGATTACAACAAAATTCAAGAAGAAGTGTCCAATGGAGTTGTTAGCTGATAGATTATTAAAGCTTTTTTTAATTAAAAAAAAGAAACATTTTTATGATTGATTTTTATGTGTTTTTTGTCTATGATTTGGAAATACTTTATGGAATGAATATTCAATTCCTAGAGTATTATTTATGAAAATAAATTTTTTTAGAAGATTTTATTTATTTGAGAGAGAGTACGAGCTGGGGGGAGGGGTAGAGAGAGAGGGAGAAACAGACTCCCTGTTAAGCAGGGAGCACGATGTGGGACTCCATCTTAGGGCCCTGGGATCATGACCTGAGCCAGAGACTTAAATTTTTTTTTAAGATTTTATTTATTTATTTGGTAGACAGAGATCACAAGTAGGCAGAGAGGCAGGCAGAGAGAGAGGAGAAAGCAGGCTCCCCGCTGAGCAGAGAGCCCAATGCGGGGCTCGATCCCAGGACCCTGGGACCATGACCCAAGCCGAAGGCAGAGGCTTTAACCCACTGAGCCACCCAGGTGCTCCCGAAGATAGACTTTTAACTGACTGAGACACCCAGGTGGCCCAAAGTAAAATTTTTTAATATATCTGTAATGATACAGTGTAATAATAGAATTTATGCTGAACACTCTTTAACAGGAAAAAAATCCATCCATTAATATTTTAATTGATTGAAAAATAAGTAACTCATGCTTCTTATTGAGATGAAATTTAAAATAATGACTTTAAAAATTAATAATTCTATCAAAATCTGCAATACAGATTTTTTTCATTTGTGTACTACTAATAATCATAAATGCTAACTCAGTCCAGAAAACAGTGTTAAACATTTTGACCTTTTTGAATGAGACATTTTTAAACAAAAATATTCAAATTATAGATAATTTTGTTGCAGAAACTCAGAATCATCAAATTTGTTTTTTGGGATAAAATTCTTTGGGGGAAATGAAAAGGAAATAGAATAAAGAATGCAGTAAAATTTCCAACTTCTAATATATATGTATATATCTCTATTTATATGTATTTTAATGGTTGCATTAACAAATTACTAGTGAATTTAAATTCCATTGGGTAAATAGAGCACAACAATTTTTAAATATCATTATATGCTATCGTTTTAAAAATCACACCCTTTGCAGCTAAACAAAAATTGTAGAGGTCAACTTAAAAACCACTACAGTTTTTTTCTATTTTCTCTTTCATACTGTAACTATTTGTTTTAAACTTTTATCCCTTTTATGAAAATGCAAGGGATTGAGCATATAGATGATGTTTTCTAAGTTTCGTGTCTTTCACAAAATTATAAAAAGTATCTTATTCACAGTGGGAGCTCAACTAAACATTTACTGAAGGAATTATTTTTATTTTATCAAAGTGAGTCAGTTGTTCTTACCTAGACTTCAGGTTAGTTTTTCCTACTCTTGACAATCAAAACAACTGCCTAATGGAAATAAAATTTGAATTTAAAAAGTAACTTATATGTTATCTTTAAAATGAGAATAGGAACAATACCATAAGAAAGAAACAAGGATATGTTATAGTAAGCCAATATTAATTTTCTTAAATGTGTTATTTTTTATATAAAATAAAGCAACACTTAAGCATTCAGAAATGTATTTATTGACATAAAACTATAGTGTATATATATCCCTAACTAAAACCAGTCTTTTCTTAATGATTCTTTCTAATGTATACCAAATTAGAAAGCAGTAAAAAACCAGTAGAAACCAGCAGGTGGCTCAGAGTGGCTGGCAACAAATCTTTTCTTCTCAGGTCACTGATAGAATTGTAATGAAAAATTATATGTTCTTTTATACTTTACTCAGCATCTCTGCTTAGGACACTATAAGCACAAGATATTGCCTAACATTGCCTTATTTGCGGCATATGCTATAATCCAGCAAGAAGTAGCTTATGCACGCACACTGGTTTACATGTATATAATACTTCTGCAGTTTTTGAGGATTATCAAGAAGGTTTGGTCTTTGTGATTATAATCTTATTGAATTGCATTTAAATATACAGCATTTTACTCTGTACTTAGTATTATTCAAGAAATAGAGAAAACTTTTAAAAAATAACTTAGGTAAAAACAAACTTTAAAAATAAAATAAAAACTCATAATCAACTTGGAAATATCAAGTTTGGGTTTAAGAATTAGATAGCCTAAAATCTCCCTTATTTTTTACCATTCCTTTGTCATTGTGAAATTGTTGCTTGAAATAAGAAAATGTTATCTTGAATTTACAGAATTTCTTGTACTCAAAAGAAATTTGGAAAAAAATAAAAAAAATTTAAAAAGAAAAGAAAAATTTGGAACTGTCAATATATATGACAAACTTCTATTTTAGCAGTATCTTTGTGAATACTAATTCTAGGTAACATTTACTAAGCACCTCCTTTTATACCAGGAACTCTTCTTAGCACTTTACATTTAATCCTTACAACTCTCTGAGGTAGATAATATTATTGTGCCCGTTTTACAAGGTCCTCAAATCAAGTTTCATGGATGGCAAAAAGCACACATGGGGACATTCATATCCTAGTCTTCCTGAACTGCTTATTAGACTGTGAGCTCCTTGAGGAAGAAGGGGGCAGAGTCTTAGCGTATCTTAGTGCCATCACATTGCTGATTGCATAGAGGAGAAAGATCTTCTCTTCACTGAGAAGATCCTTTCACTAGTATCATGACAGTGGGCAATAGCTAGGTGTAGCAGGTGAGTGACCAGACCAAGAATGGTAATCATGCATTGAATAAGCTAAGAAAAATCACATTGTTAGGACATTAGAGTATGAAAAGACTTCCACAAAAATAATGGAGTACTATGCAAATTAATTATTCAAACTCACATCTAATTTCCCTACAATTGTATCTAATTAATCAGTGCCAATTTTATTATTTATTATGATTCATCCAATTGAAGACCAGGGAGTTTCTATTATGTTAAGATAGTTCCTTTGTCTTATAAAGCTTTAACAGTTTCTTACTTCACCTTAAGGTTTCTTTTCAACTCATTTGTATCTCTGCAAGGAAAAAAATATGGAACGGAAACAATGTAAATGGTTTCAATTTCTCTGAGGCATTAAACTCCAGGCTATGAATTTCTGGTGTTTATAGTTACTTGAAATAAGTAATTAGAACTTGAAAATGGTCTTTTGGGTTCTTTATTTAAACTTTTACTACTTTATTTTCTTAGTAAATGAGATTGGAAATAGCAATTTGATATAATCACATTCATCACCTATAAAAATGTTAAACTTCTTTATCATTTAACTTTGGGCTTCTCAAAGACCACAGGCATCCTGAAGAAGAGGACAAGAGCCACACAGGAGCCATTCTCCTGCTCTTGTCCATTCAGAGTCTCCACAATTTTTCTAGAGTTCACAAGCTGGCACAAAAGTCTTTTGAACTATTTAAACTCACTTTAACTGTGTCCTGAGTCCTAAGTAAAAATAATTTATTCCAAATTGGTCCAAAGGGAATAAAAAGCAAAGTGAAAAGAAATCATTTTATGTTGTCTGGACTGCCAAATTATAGAAAGGTAAAACACTCTGCGGAGGGGGGGGGGGGGACAAGTGTTCAGCATTTTTTTCCCCTTCTACACATAGAAAGTACTTTTTAAAAAATACCTTCCTTTTATCCACATTAAAGCAAACATAAAAAGGATTGACTTTGCTCCACTTTGTGGGGAAAACAACCTGGAGATACTTTAGCTCCCTGCTAAGCCTTTGGTATCCATCAGAACTGTATTTCCATAGTTGTAAATTGATTATAAGTGAAAGTCTGTTAAATCATCTGTGGATTTCCAATTTGCCTAATAGGTAAAAGCACTTAGAACAGTGCCTGGCACATAAGACACAGGAATTGTTAGCAATAGCAATAGAACGGCTTAGATAGCATCCATATACTGCCATGACAAAGAAGGAACATCAAAGAGAATGACTATCTAACCAGAAAAATTAATAGGGATTTTGATCAAGTCTGAAATTGAGCATTCATGAAGTTTTCAGGAACCCATCTTTGGGATTTCTGACATCCTACTCTTTCAACTTGTCTTGAAACACAAAATAGATGATGTGTTTTAACAAACAGAGCAATCCTTTATTTCAGATTTCCCTCAGACTGCTCTAACTTATTGAGGGTTTGAGGAGATATAAAAATGCCCAGCTTAATCACTGATTGAATGTACTTTATAAAATATACAGCTGAGGAAACCAGGCTGTGCTCAGTTTAAAAGCAAACTAAAATAGAGCTCAGAGGACTGAACTAGCAAGGAATTAGCATATGTTTATAATAGATATTAATATTAACAAGCTATATGACTAGATAGATATTATAATAGATATTATAGAATAGATATTATAATAGATATTAATATTAAAAAGCTATATGACTGGTAAAAATCTTTTCAGTATTTAATCTTAGAAGAATTATTTGGTCATCAAGCAAAGGAACTAACTTTTTTTTTTTTCTGAGTCCCAGAAGATTTGGTAAGCCTACCAAAAACAAAAGTTTTTCTTTATAAACATATCTTTTTTTTTTAAAGATTTTTTTTTTTTTTTTTTTTTGACAGACAGAGTTCACAAGTAGGCAGAGAGAGAGAGAGGGAAGCAGGCTCCCTGCTGAGCAGAGAGCCCGACGCGGGACTCGATCCCAGGAACCTGAGATCATGACCTGAGCCGAAGGCAGCGGCTTAACCCACTGAGCCACCCAGGCGCCCCTAAACATATCTTAATATACTCAATAAACCATTCCACATGAAAAGACAGAAAAAAATAAAATTTTAAACAAAATAAAAATTCTAATAAAGAAAAGGCTAAGTGGGAGAAAATAGAAAATTTATCAATTTTAACATGGACCTTATTACCACTAGCCAAAGCTCCTTTAGTATGAGGTCTGTGGGTAAGAAAATGCAAACATAATCGTATTCAAATATGTAAATGAGTTGCAGCTTCAGGTTTCCAGTCACGTGCTTAATGAAGCAATAACATGATACATTGGAACTGCTTCCATTTCAGGAGAACCTCATTATAAAGAATAGAGCTCGAACATTATAATGTACTTGCTCTTTGTTGTAGTAAAATAAGCTAGACTTTTTGGTTCATTTAATTATAGAATCTTACTATCAAAAATAGATGCTCTAACTTAAAAAAAAAATACTTTCTTTGGTAATTTTTATGACATTTCTGAGAAGAGCCCATAAAAGCTCTCTAAAAAAATAAAACAATTCTTTAAGACATGGATATAAAATTCTCAAAGAATCATCAATTAAAAACACACAACTTTCTTCCTGTTTCTGTTCTTGTCAAAAAAGCAGGTTATCTTTACACAGTCTCTGTAGCTCCAAGGAATTCCATTTCCACAGCAGCTTTTGGCACTTTAGCTGAGCTACTCTTCTTTCGGAATTCTGCTGCAATTTCCTCAAAGGACTTTCCTTTGGTTTCTGGGACTTTGAAAAATGTAAACAGAGTAAAGACCAGGACCACTCCAGCAAAGAGGAAAAACACATAAGGTCCACAGAATTTCTGCATAGAGAACAAACAGAGTTCCAATTAGCAGCTGTTCTACTCCATCTCTACTCAGCAAATTTGCACAATAATAGACTGCTTACCGCAATGTATTGGAAACACAGAGCTACAATGAAATTGCATGTCCAGTTGCTAAATGCAGCTATTGCTAAAGCAGCAGGCCGTGGTCCTTGACTGAAGAACTCTGCCACCATGAACCAAGGGATGGGGCCAGGCCCAATCTCGAAGAAACTGACGAAGAGGAAAATGGCTACCATGCTCACATAACTCATCCAAGCCAGCTTATCCTGAGGAAAAAACAAAATGAAAATAGAAGTGGAGTTGGAATTATTGGCTGCTGCTTCTTTTAGCTAAGTGGGCTCACTGAGTTCAGAAGTGACATAGCTCTGTTCTTGATATGTTTATGTGCAAATAACTACAAATTATTCTTGTTTGAGACAAGTTTATTCAAGTCTGAGTTATGGTTTTAAATGTTTTGAACTCTGTTAGAGGAAATCCTCTGGATTAGGATTTTATATGATTCTCAGTCTTTTCCTGTGATAGAAGCAAGGCAAGAATCTAATGACCTTTGCTCCTATTCTTACCAAGATTGCTAGACAGGATGCATTACCTTCCATGAAGTAGTGGACGAAGATGCTGGGTTGGCAAAGGCCTGGTACTTGCCCTAGGTCACATAGGTAGCCAAATGACAGAGCCAGTGTTAGAACCTGAGCAGGGCTGACCCCAGAGACTATGCTCTGACCATTTTGCAACACTGCCTCTCTTGGCAACAAGTGCAGTTTACTTTGTGAAAATTAAGTCTTTAAACCCCAAAAGCTAGTTCCCCTTTTCTTTGCATTTCTCCCTTGTATTCTGTGCTGTTCCTCTGGGTTTATGTCATAAGTCAAACTCATTGTTTTTTAAGATTTTATTTATTTATTTGTCAGAGAGAGAGAGCATGTGCACAGAGGGGGAGCAGCAGGCAGAGGGAGAAGCAGGCTCCCCGCTGAGCAAGGAGCTCAAGGGACTCGAACCCAGGACCCGGGATCATGACCTGAGCTGAAGGCAGATGCACAACCAACTGAGCCTCCCAGGTGTCCCTCAAATGTTTTCACTTACAGAGCCTGGAGAACAGTAGGGCTATCATGTGGTAACCAAATACCTCAGTGCAAAAATCTACACTTACCAGTAGTACAAGTCCCACGGACATGAAGATGGCACAGACAAACATCCCACTCATTCCTATTAGAAACAGAGAGCGTCGCCCTGCCTTCTCCACAAGGAATACCTGGGAAAGTTTTAAAAACATACTGACTTAAATAGTTTTTACTGCCAAAGAGGTCATTTTAATTTATACAGCTGGAAGGAGGCAGTTCTATAAGCCCATTTTACAGATGTGGAACTGAGTTGGGGGGTGACTCTTGCCTCAGGTGGCAGAACTGGTCTCAGTGATAATTAAAAGATACCTGCTTCATTTAGTCACAGTCATTTGAACACGCCATTCTGGAGAAAGAACCATAACCTTACTATCACTCTACAATTATTACTTGAGAACAATATTAGAGCCTGTACATCTCAGGTATCTTTCAGTAGATTTCTTATACATTTAAAATGGCTCTACATAAAAGACATTAATTTATCTTTTGATAATTATCCTATTATAAGTACAATGTTTTGTGCACTGCAGAAAACCTACACCTGAAATGGTATAACTGTTGGGTTGTCAATCATTCTCATCCAACTTTCTAATTGCTAATACAGTCAAATTACAACCACTCACCTGGCAACTTACAGAATTTATCACTTTACCAAATAGATCTGCATTTTTCTGGTGTGTCTAAATGTATTTGGTGCTGGAAGTGAATTATCCATTTGAAAAGATAAGACTTTAAAGCAAAAGCTTTAAGTGCTTTCTTATCCTAATTTAGGAGATATGTCATTGATGCCTTTGGGTCTGTGGACCTTTGCATTAATGGTTAACATTTATGACTAGCCAAGACCAATATTTGTTAAATAGACTCTTCTTGCTTGATCCTTGGGATACTGCCAGGATTGGTGAATCACACACAGAAATTATCTGTTATAATTTCTCACTTCAATGAATAAATTGGCTTGGCTCATAAATCTATCAGTAAATTAAGAGCAATCTAATACCCTTGAGCTTTGGCTCTGAGAATATCTGAAACATTTGTTTTCCCCTATAATGAAAGCCCCTTTCATTTCAGAGACAATACATATTCGGTTTCAGATCACTTCAGGATGATGAACAAACAGCCCACACTTACTGTTGAGAAGGTAGTATGAAAAACACCTCTTGCCCAAGTTCATAACATTTCTCTATATAATTTCTAAGTATGACTTTCAAAGTTGACTTGATGACACCATGTCAAGCTATCAAGAAAATAGAAGCATTTCTTCAGGAATGAGGGATTTTACTGTTTCCTCTGTTTCTGAATAATTTTTACTAATAGGATAATAAATTCTAAACTCACTCCTTGAGGGTGGAGATGTCTGCCTGACCAGAACCCTTGTTTTTGCCCAAGACATATGTATCACACAGATTCTGGATGCCACTGCTTCTTCTCTAGACCCATCTGTGTCCCTGTTCCCTCCATGTTTCTTCCTGTTTTGTTTTCCCTCAAGTTTACAGGCCCTCTTCTACTGGCCCATTAGTGTGGAAGAAAATATGGAATGTGGAAACATAATTCAGCATGGAGTTAGGAAAGTCTTTCTTTTCCCAAATACTCATTCAGAATAAAAATTGATTATGTCCCTTCCAAGTTGGTGAAATCTTAACATTGCATATTCCTATTTGTGTGTCTTTATTGGAAAGGCTACACAGAATTCAATAACATTGGTAATTTAGGGGAGAGGAATTGGGTGAACGAAGGACTATCCTTTTTGTACTTTTAGATCCTTAAAACAACTTTTCAAAAATAAATGTAATTAAAAATTTTAAATGTTATCTATAGCCCTGGAGGGTTAGACAGATGATTAGAGCTGATTTTTAAAATGTCACTCATCTGTTCAAAAACTTTCATAGAATAAAAGGATAAACTCTAAAAGGGCATATTTAAAATAATCAAGAAACTTTTTGAAACAACTTCTCCTACTCCAGCTGGGTTGGGAGTAAGGGGGCAAAAATGAAATTCTGTAGTAGGTCCCTTTATAGGCATTTGGTTTACCCAATTTTGACAACTTGTTTTACATACCAAATCCTGTTACATATAAAATATTTTAAGCATAATCTCCATATTAGAAAAATATGTTGAGGTAGGATTTGTAAAGAATATATCTCAGGAGACAAAGGAATGTGAGTAGATTACATCCCAGTAGTAGGCCTTCATTGATTTTGAGTGGCCTTTTGGCTTGAACAGGCATTATCTCCAAAGCGTGCCTACAGAACTCCTGGTGTTCCCTTGTTATCTGTTCTCCCTCCTCTTTCCAAGGTCCAGCACTGTTTAATGTAGTCTGGACAAATCTGCTTTTTGATCTAGGTAGCTAGGCTGTAATTTATTGACCACCCTAAGGTAATAGTTAAAAGTCCATCTGCAGAGAATGAAAAACAAGTGACTAGAGTGCATTGAATATAACATGGTGACCAACATTGGAAAGCACAAGCTTTTTGGATATCCTGCATTCTAAGATAAAAATAAGCCCAATATCCTCATTTTTAGAGTGAATTACATGAGTTGGGAAGTTTTAGGGGTTTTTTGTTGTTTGTTTCTATTCTTAGATTGTTAATCTATTCTTAGATTATTTATGTTAAATATTATTGTCAAGATACTGAATCATTCATTGTATAAGGTATTTGGCCTTGAGAAGACTATATGACCTTTCTTCTTGTCAGAAAAAAAATAACATTTCAAAACTAATAACATTTCAAGTTATACCACTTCCACTCCATCTGTTATAATATCACACACATTTTTATGCATCACCAGAAGTTATGGCTTTGTGAGCTATCTGGAAGCTCTCTCTATTAACCTAATATCATAAGAATTTGCTGAGTCTATTTAACCATGTTACAGGCATAGATATGTTACAGAGGGCCTTATTTTTTTAAAGCGTTTTTACCAAGACATCAGAATAAAAAAGAATTTCAACCATGGAAAGAGAGGAACCTAGGTAGAAGACCCAATATCGATAGAAATGACACATCACCTGATCCCAACAGATGTAAGTACAGAGCAAAGGAAAAGGAATCCAGCTATTTACACAAGGAAGAAGTCCTCTGTGCCCCAAGTCAGTTATTAATTCACAAATGAGTGACTAAATGGCATCCCAGCAAATGGGGACAAGCAGTGATCCATCTGTTCAGCTATGCTTAGTAGTTTATTTGCATATAGGACTCTTCCCGTGACCCACTTGGTTCTATACACCCAATACACAAGAGCGATAAATCGCTGGTTGCTTTCAGATCACAAGGTACCTCCCTCCGCCATTACTGAACTGAGGAAAAAGTGCATTTATCTGGGGTATGAACTCACAGAGACAGCAGTGAAAACCATGTTGATGGCACCAACTCCAATGGTTGCATAAACAGGTTGGCTGATTCCAGCTGTCTGAAAAATGCTGGTTGAGTAGTAAAAGATCTGTAAAGTAATAATAATTTAGCTTTAATCAAGAACCCTAGCACTGATAGCTTGAAAGCAAGAAATATTTTAAGTTGTTTATTTTTAGTAGTTTCTATGGAACCATGGTCCCTAGAACACCCTAAACATTTTATCTGTCCTTTCCTTCCAGGCAGTGAGAAACCACTATCAACCTTTAGTGTTCGAAACTTCTGATTCCTTGAAGTTCTCCTTAAATTTAGCTGAAAACTCTGAATTTGCATTATCTTGATATATATTTTTTAATTTTTAAACTCTTGTTAAGGTGTAAAATACATACAAAAAAGTACACACAACATAAGTATACAGATTAATTTTCACAAACTGAACACACCTGTGCAAATAGCACACAGATCAAGAAATAAATCATTCCCAGTCTTCCAGAACCCCCTAGAATATCTCCCTATTTTTCCAAGGAAGCTCTTCGACTTCTAACATCATGACAAATTTTGCCTAGTTTTGTACTTGCTATAAATGGAACCACACAGTGTGAATTATTTGTTATCTAGTTTCAACATTACCTTTGTGAGAATTATCCATATAGTTGTGTGTATTTGTACACTGTTCATTATCATTGCTTAATATTTTTTTATTAATATACCACTATTTATTATCCAGTCTACTACTGATGGGTATTTAGGTAGTTGTCATTTGGATGAATATGAAGGGTGCTGTTATGAACACTCTAGTACAATCCTTGTGGTGAAATATGTACACATTTGCATCTAGGAATAGAATTACTAGACCATAGTGTATTTATATGCTCAGCTTTGAAAGATACTGATGAATGGTTTTCCAGAAAAGTTGTGTCAATTGACACTCTTACCAATGTGTATAGGAATTCTGGTTGTTATTGCTTTTAATCCAAAATTTTTCACTAATCTCAGCGGACATGGGGAAATCCTCAAATCTCTCTAATAGCCTTTATTATTAATTGTGTTTTTACATTTATAATGTTTTTTTAAAGATTTTATTTATTTATTTGACAGACAGATCACAAGTAGGCAGAGAGAGAGGAGGAAGCAGGCTCCCCGCTGACCAGAGAGCCCAATGTGGGCCTCGATCCGAGAACCCTGGGATCATGACCTGAGCTGAAGGCAGAGTCTTAACCCACTGAGCCACCCAGGCACCCTATAATGGTCTTTTTAAGGCCATTCTGTCATTCTCTCTCATTCTTTCCCCATTTAACATGTCCTGTGCTGGCACCTCTTCTTGCAGATAGGGCTAATAGAGAAGGACTGTACAGACTATGCTCAGTGAAGAGTAGCTTATAGCACACTGCACACTATCCCGCACTTTTAGGCTGCCCAACAGCCTCAGTTCAACATTCCTGGATGCCTCTAAGTCAGGAACTGCGATAGGAGCTAAAGCAGGGAGGTTCAGAATGACTAAGTATTGTTCTTTTGGATACACAGGCAGAGCTGAAAAAAGGATACAAATTTGGTCTTCAAACCCTGAAGTTACATAGAGTGTTAGATTAAGAGGGATATCAAGGACCCATTAAAGGAGGATAGAGATGACAGGAGAGAGTATTCAGCTTGTAGAGTGAGGTTCAGGTCTCCTTTTGTTTCAACAGGTTAAGAATTACTTTCTTTACCTCTCCCAAGGCTCTGCCCATCCACAAGTCACCCCCTTGTGGATCTGTGATTAGCTTGTAATAGAGGAAGCCAAAACCATATTTTTAACAGCAGTAAAAGAGGGTAAGTGATTTTTTAAATCTAGTATTTTTTTAGCAAATGTTTACTTTTTTTCTTCTAATAGCTAATTGCCAGTAAAACAATTTTAGTCTGTGTAATGCAATGATTTCAGTTCAAAACCTAAAAGCTAGTGAAAACATACATTCAATATGGTTTTCAATCATGTCTTATCTATTGCCCTTACTCCAGTGTCATGCCAGTTCACACTATTATTTCTTTTGTATGCTGGCTCTCCAAATAGAGGGAAAGTTTCTTGCATGGCAGGAAACTTCTTTGCACCTAACTATTTGGTGGTATTTATTTATTTATTTATTTATTTATTTTCAAGTAGGCTTCACATCCAGTGCAGGGCTCAACACAGAACTCAATCCAGAACCCACAGTCCCAAGATCAAGATCATGAGTCTGATGCTCAACCAACTGAGCCATCTAGGCGCCCTGGTATACTTCATTTACATAGGTAAAACAGGGTAGGTGCCTGGGTGGCTCAGTAGGTTAAGTGTCTGCCTTCAGCTCAGGTCATGATCCCAGGGTCCTGGGATTGAGCCCCACGTCGGGCTCCCTGCTCAGCGGGAAGCCTGCTTGTCCCTCTCCCTCTGCACCCCCATGCTCTCTCTCTCTCAAATAAATAAATAAAATCTTAAAAAAATAATAATGATACATAGATGAAGGGAACTATGGACGAAATCATAAATTTGCTACTCAACTCTAGAAGTCCCCTGTAATTTAGGGTGTTTTGGGGGGGCATAATTATTCTCATTTTCCCTCTTTTGAATTAATTATGATTTTTGCTTATTACCTTCCATCTTAATAGACACACAGTACCATTGATTATTGACATTTTTTAAAAATTCTAATCCAATTTTAGAAAGCAGATACGGCAAAACAAAGAAAATTAATGCTCAATATGTTTTTTGTAGTAAAACATGATGTCAATACTTTTATTTTTTTTTTAAGTTTTTTTTTTTAATTTAAAGATTTTTATTTATTTATTTGACAGAGAGATCACAAGCAGGCAGAGAGGCAGGCAGAGAGAGAGGAGGAAGCAGGCTCCCTGCTGAGCAGAGAGCCCGATGCGGGGCTCGATCCCAGGACTCTGAGATCATGACCTGAGCCGAAGGCAGCGGCTTAACCCACTGAGCCACCCAGGCGCCCCAATGTCAATACTTTTAAATGCCTTTTAGCTATTTAATTTATGCCCCTTTCTTCCCCTATTTTAGGGAGTTAGAAAGTATTTTTAAACTTACCCCATTGATTCCAGAAAATTGCTGAGCCACGTGCAGCATCAGTGCTACTAGAATAGGCTGTCGGTAGCTGGAATTGGTGAAGAGCTGAATTATGGAGACTTTCTGTTCACTGGATGCTTCTTCTTTTTCTTTTCTCATCTCAGTGATGTCTTTGGTGACATCAACACCTCCTCTGAGTCTTTTCAAGCCTGCCCACAAATTGATCAGGTCGACACAACTCAGGTCAAAACAAAAGTAAATTTATTTTTATTATGTTAATGAAAGAGCTGTAGTTCAGCATAGCCCTTTCTATTGCTTTACAGCAGGAGTGTTGGCAATTCTTTTGTAAAATTAGATCCTGTTTTTAAATTTTGAGAAAAACATTTGACTTATATCTAGTGACAAAGAAAACTCTGATCTTTGTTATCATAGAAGAATGATGCGTGTAAAAGTCTTTTAGAAGCCTCTGGTTGAGTCCAATACCCTGCATGTGGGTTTCCCATTTGGGCTCAAGTGTTTATGGGTTTGAAATGGCATGTGTGAGTCATATTGAAGTGATCTTGCACATTCTTTTTACATGTAATCATTGACTTCATTTAGAAAGTGCTCATACCAACTTGACCAGTAAACATTCATGCACACTGTTTTTCATTAGCTGATAGTTCCAAAACAATAGGAAGAAAAAAGAACATCCACAGACTTACTTTTCTTTGCTTTGACTTCTTCATCCATCTTGATGTAAAGGTACCTGGGACTTTCTGGACAGAAGAAGAGCAGCAGAGACTGGATGATGGCTCGCACAGCAGACAAACCAAGAAGGATATGCCATCGCTCATGATTGCCCAGGATAAAGTTGAGGCCAACAATCTGAAAAGGCAGGGAGGAAGCATGGCAACTGCACAACACTTTAGGTCTGCCTTCTGTACCCGTTTGTTGAAAGTTATTTAATAGTGAAACCATTTGTTGAAAGTTATTTAATAGTAATCCCTGACAACTTTGACTCAAATATGCCCAAAGTAGAAACTATTACTAGTGTGTCTTACTTCACTAAATTCAGGACTATGTGTTTTACAAAGAGTTCACCGAGGTTTATTTTCATTAACTTATATGGGTCATTTAGGATAGGAAACAACCAAACTTTTAAGAACACATTTGAAACCTAAAGCAACAACAAAAATCATGTGTAACTTTAGACCCTAAAAATTTCTTCTTCGATTACCCAGAAAAATAAAATGGGATTACATAAGATAGAATAATTATTTTAGTGAGAACCAGATTTATCAACCTTATTGCAGTGGCTTACCCTCTGGATAATCCTAGGTTAGGGGTTCTGAGGACTCTGAGTCCTTGGGATAGAAGAGAAGGATAGAGCCAGCTGAACAAAAAACTGCTATGGTAATCATATACATATTAATTGTCTAGGTAAGGTACCCAGAACAAAGGAAATCCAAGCAGTCAAAAATGTGAAGTTTCCTATTCTTTGAAATCTGAACAGAATAATTTAATTCTAGACTAGCTCCTGGAGTTCAAGACCTGGCATGTTGGGTCATCTCTATTGCCAAACCTACCACAGATCCAAGGGGAGAAGTGAGGAGTGGAGCAGTAATAATTTAGCTTTGAGCTAAAAAGCCTAAGTCTCTATAGCATCCCCATTCCCAATGGTGGAAGTAGTTTTTTCCACTGTGTCGATCTATCAGTGAGGGAGAAGCTGGATAAAATAGAGGATGGGTGAAGTAGGGAATAGGAGTTTTTACCTGACTAATAAGAATGCCCGTGACAATGGCCAGCTGGTGAAGTGTGCCAAGAGCACCCCTGAGTGTGGTTGGAGCAATTTCACCAATGTACATTGGAACCAAGCCTGAAATTAGTCCTGCATAAAACATGAACATAAATGTGAAAGTGCAGCCAGGACTACTTCAATAACAATAATTTGGTTCAAGTATAGCCAGTATCCTGACTAAAAGGACCTTTCAGAGTCTGTTGGAAGGAAGACCCCCTGTCCCCAGTCATAGACACAGTTTATGCAAAGAATATTTGTTGATAAGACTTGATTGAAGTTGTAGCTCGATATAGGAATAGAAAGAAATGGTTAGTCATGGATTTGGCATTTATTCACAGCATTGCCTTATTTAGTTAAAACCATGTTAAAATCGACTCTCTACATCGTAATGCCTCAGATTGTCTTCAGAAAAGAGACTAAAGAATGCTTTAATAATATTCTTGGTCTAAACTCATGGTATTAAAGGAAATTAGAACATATCTAAGCCCATCTCTTTACTTGATAGAGATGAGAAACAGTTTATCCAAATCATAGTACAATAGAGCTTTAGCATGAGAACTACAAGCCCTGAGTCTCCACAGTGTGGAAGTGCCTCAAGATCACTGTTAAAGTGGTGAGGGAGGTGTGGACAGGTGAAGAGGTTAAGGAATTCAGGGCTCTTCCTTCAATTACTCCAACCAGAGCAACCCAGCTTCTTTATTCTCTCCTAACAATGGGCTTCAGAAAAGACTTTGGTGCTTAAAGGAATACCAAAAAATTGAAAAGCCCTAGGCAATTTTGCCTTCTATAGTTTTCTTAAGCACAGATGTAACCAGTCATGTTGGAAATAGTGGAGTATCCAGCCATTTGCTGAGTGCATGAAAAGGTCAGACACTGTCGACAAGCAAGGTTGAATGCAATGTTTAGCATTTTCTTAAGAATTTAAAAATAAGACTTATCAGAGTCTTCCTTTTAGACAGTTTGTCTATAAAATGGAAATGTATGGTTTTTGTGTAAAAGATGAATGTGGGAACTGTTTCAGTATGTTTTTAATGCTTTAAAATGTTCTTAATAGCTCACGTGAACAGTTGCATGATTGATATAGCTTCTGAATTTTGGCTGACATTTATATGTGCCTCTAATGTGTGGTCTGTTGATCTTAAATAAGAAAAAACACATTTATTTGTCCCTTTTTCAGGCTGTACTCTCTGTGTAGTACCTCCTATTGTATCTCAAGAACATAATAATGTAGATAAGATCACAGGTCTGAGTTTACACAAATTTAAAGTCAAAATGTATTTCCTATAATTTTTAGCAATTTTAATGCTCAGAACAGAACCAGGCATAATTTTAAAAGATTGTTGGGGAGTATGGATTACTTGGCTATGCTAGTGATAGGTTGCTCCACAATGTTTATAACATTTCTTTTCAATTTTCTAAAAAATATTTGTGATTTTTTTTTCATACTGTATTTTTTAAAATGGAGAGAGAAGAAAGAAGAATCATGATTTGGACCTCCTTGATAGTGTTATTCATTGCATTTTACAAAAGATCCAGTTAATATATCTAAACCCAGGCAGAAACAGTGTCAGAATTAATTCATTCTGAGTCTAAATCTCTCCACGTGTTGGTTGCCTCTTCACCTTAATAAAGCTATCCTCACTCTCAGCTATTTGTATTAACATTGAAAATAATGAGGCTTTTAATTAAGTTATTAACTTGTGGCCCTTTAGAATTTTGTTTAAAATTTTGTTTCAAGGGATCATTGAAGACACATGAAGCTACGGTCTTTTCTCTTTGCAAGTAAAAACTATAAACATTTTATACATCGTTTGTGCTCTTGTACTCTCCCCCAGCCCTAGTGGATGTTAGTGCTTTGAAAGACAGTTCTGTGATTTGGGACAGTGGGTTAAACCTTGGCTCCAAACCATCAGAATCAGGGCTTCACTGGCACTGAGAATCTAAAGATTTGGCTATTTTAGAGATTAGGTGATCCTTCCTTCGCTCAGACCTCTGCTGATTAAATTTGCTTCTGAAAGTTTGAAACTTCCAAAAGTTTGAAAAGCTATTTCTAAGAACTAGTGATTCCAGATACTCAGATGTTAGGTTCACAAGGAAGGGGAGCATCCTTTGTCCATTAGAACTCCTCTACCAGCTGCTCCTGCCTGACTCCCTCTCCCTGAGGTCACCGCCACTGTAATGCTTCACCCAGCCACATCTGGGATCCATCCACTAAGGGAAGGAGAGACAGAGACCTAGGTGGCCAAGTAGGCCACAAGAGCCGAGTTGGAGGTTCTGGGTGTAGCAGTGTGCCACTGTCTTCAGCACAGCCGGAGCAATAGCAACAGCTAGCTTTTCTCCGCAGCTTCCTGGAGGCAGATTCTGTGCTGAACGTTTTCCATGCATTCTCGCAAGGGCCCTACATCGTAGATACTATCTCCTTCATTTAACAGAGAAGGAAGCTATGAATTAAATAACTTACCTGTGATTATGCCACTAGAAATTGCCAGGAGCGAGAAGATCGTTTCATAACTGCCACTTACTGGTCGCAAACCTCCCTGACTCAGGACTTCAATTTTATGCTATTGCCTTTCCCTTTTGTGATGCCATCTCTGGCTCAAAAACTTCCCTGCGTGTTACCAATCTGCCTTTAAAATAATTTCCAGACGTGTGTGTGTGCGTGTGTGCATGCGTGCATGACTTACCACAGTAGAGTCCTGATATGCTTCTTCCTGAAATTATAAGAATGTGAGATGGTCCCAGTTTTGAAAACCCCATCAGGAGAGCTCCAACTAATGAGAGAATGTTTGCTACCAACATGGCTTTGATTCTGAAAGTTTAAAAAGCAAGGATTACAAATTCAGCATCAAAACTTGATAAAATTATTTGCTCTCAGAGTATGCGAAGATATTTACTTAAGAGCAGTTATTTTAATTTTGATGAGAAAGTTAGCTGGGGAATTTTAAACCATAATTGCTAGTTTGACTTATCTGTGGACTAAAGCTTTACCAGTAAATAATGTTTATAATGAGAAAATCCGGATTTCATGCATGTGATCTCCACATTTTAATAGAGATGATTCAACTGTACTGATGACTGTTTTGATTTGAGATAACCCTTCTGAAACTTTTTCAAACAGTTAACTAATTAAGTTTTCTACAAGTTGATTGTTTTTTTTTTTTAAACATTTTATTTATTTATTTGAGAGAAGAGAGAGACAGTGAGAGAGAGCATGAGCGAGGAGAAGGTCAGAGGGAGAAGCAGACTCCCCATGGAGCTGGGAGCCTGATGTGGGACTCGATCCCGGGACTCCAGGATCATGACCTGAGCTGAAGGCAGTCGCTTCACCAACTGAGCCACCCAGGCGCCCCTACAAGTTGATTGTTTTAAGTGATAATTGCCTGGTGATAGCTACATTCAACACTGTAGTTGCAACCTATGACATCCTCTTTCTTTCCCCTCTTTCTTCCTTCTCTTCTCTTTTCATTTCTCTTATTTTCACCTTCCCTCCTTCTTTCTTCCTCCCTTCCTTCCTTTCCTTGCCTTCCTCCCTCCTTCTCTTTCTTTCTTTCTTTCTTAATGACACAGGATTTTAGCTGATGTAGATGATGTAAAGAGCTTCCAAAGTTAAATTTCTTTTAATATGAATTGTTTGGAAGTAAATTAAAATATTCTTTTACTTTAAGCCTTATCAAAGAGAGTTAAAATTATTCTTATTTTAACATTGTGTGTCATATTTCCAGAACCTATAAATTAATGTCAGCCAACGTAAAATATGTAATAAAGCTGACAGTAGCAACAAAAACATCATTTTCAAAATTAATCATGTGAAAATTAACAATATTTGCAGATATCTGATACTTTTATTCCTATTCAATGGGAAAGTAGGGCACAAAAACCTTCTTTAAAATTCAATAGATGAAAGAAAAAAATGAAACAAGATGGGATCAGGAGGGAGACAAACCATAAGAGACTCTTAATCTCACAAAACAAACTGAGGGTTGCTGGGGGGTGGGGAGTAGGGATAGGGTGGCGGGTTATGGACATTGGGAAGGGTATGTGCTATGGTGAGTGCCATGAAATGTGTAAGCCTGATGATTCACAGACCTGTACCCCTGGGGCAAATAATACATTATATGTTAATAAAAAATAATTTTAAAAGTTTAATATATGTTAATAAAAAATAACTTAAAAAGTTTAATGATGATGATAAGGCCAATAAAAGAATTTGAATGGACAGGTATAGAAGTATTTGTGCCACAAAGAAGTGTAAGGATCTTTTAATATTCTGTGTCAATGTTTCAAACTTAAATAGCAGAGCTTTTTCTAAGCATATATCTTTAATACCAGACAGATTTTTTTTTTTCTGGAGAGTAAAATTATGTGTTTTATACTACAAAGATTACCCAACAAATATGATAGGCTTAATAATATCCCCTAAGAGTCCACATCCTAATCCTCAGACTCTGGGAATATATTGCCTTATATAATAAAAAGGTTTTTGCAGATGTGATCAAATTAATGGTATTGAGGTAAAGAGATTATCTTGGATTATCCATCCAATGATGGAATCACAAGTATTCTTATAAGAGGAGGGCGGAGGAGAAGATAATGTAATGTCAGAAGTATGATTGGAGTAATGTGTTTTACAGATTGAATGAGGTCCACAAGCCAAGCAATATGGTGACCACTGGAAGCTGGAAAAGGGCCAGAAAAAAAGAAGCTGGAAATGGGTTCTTCTCAGAAGCTGCAGCAGGAACCAGCCCTGCTGACACCTTGGCTTCAGGCAAATGAAACTGAATTTGAGCTTCTGACCTCGAAAACTCTTAGGCAATACCTGTTGTTTCAGCCACTGTTTATGGTAACTCATTAGAGCAGTACTAGAAAACCAACATATGGAGAATGTCAACTACTCAAAAGGAGGGGAAACAGTGTTTTAGAGCTGGCCAGTTTCAGAGCTGCAGAGCAGAAAAAGGGCTATTTCTCTGTGAAGTGCCTTTTCTCTACTCAAGGACAGAGAGCAAACAAATTCAGTAACTTTAAGAAATTCTTACTAGCTCGCTAGTAGTATATATTCTGTTAGGGAATATATTCTGTTAGGGAGAAAAACTCTTAAAAGAGATAGCCTGAAAGTATATTTGATGCCAGGTTGCTCTAAAGTCCCTCTTCCTTACCAGCTAATGGATGCTGAAGCACTTTGTAAACTAAAGGATTTTAACTTCTGCTCAGACATGAGAAATGGACAAGAATAAATAATTCAAAAATACTTGAAATCACTAAATCAGGGAAAAAGAAATACATTTCTTTTTTTTTTTTAAAGATTTTATTTATTTATTTGACAGACAGAGATCACAAGTAGGCAGAGAGGCAGGCAGAGAGAGAGGTGGAGGCAGGCTCCCTGCAGAGCAGAGAGCCCGATGCGGGGCTCGATCCCAGGACCCTGGGATCATGACCTGAGCTGAAAGCAGAGGCTTTAACCCACTGAGCCACCCAGGCGCCCCAAGAAATACATTTCTAAGAGTATTTCTTCAAATTTTGCTCTAAATACTCCTGTTAGCACAGGGTTTAACACTGTCTTCATAGTTGTCTTCGTCATTAGCATCAGCATCAGTATCACCATCAGCATCAAAGTAAGGCTACATTCAGTGCCTGCTTACTATGTACCAGGCATTGTGGTAAATCCTCTATCTGTGCTCTCATGTAAACTCACAAGAATCCCATGAGTTAGCTACTATTTTTTTCCTACACTGTAGATGGTTGGGGAAACATCTTAGAGAACCTAAGTAACTTGCTCATTTTCACACAACTATTAAGTGTCAGAGCCGGGGCTTGATCTGTGTGAAACCAAAGGTTAAAACGCTTGATTTTAGTGAGTTCCATTTTTATATAAAAGAAAGTGCATTCAAAAGCAGGCTATGTCTACCTTCCTTTGCTTACGGTACTGTGGATTGCACAGACCATCGTCTCCTCCACCATATCATAGTAATTAAATTTTAAGGGCACAGCTTCTGGAAAAATTGACCCTGAGAAGCCAAATCTATAAAACAATGGCCACAGACATTTATTGCCTACTACACTATTGTAAGGAAATACTTTTTTTTAAGGGAGTAATGAAAAAACAAGTTTTTATTTACTTCTTTTTAATTGATAGAGCAATGACCTGGTCAGTAAGAAAAAATCATGTCATTTCTTAGTGAATCTTCCTAGAAAAATAGTTTTATAGGAGAGACTGAACTCTTTTGTCTTCATTTTGATGTTAAAATTATTAATTTTGTGCTTGTTATTCATGGAGAATCATTTTTCTACTGAGACTTGGAAGAAGCCTCAGTTTTAGTTTACCATAAGTCATTTGATAAGTGATCATTTGACATTGTTTTGGGGTATAACCATTGTTAATGCTAAATTCTAAGACTTGAGAGGGTATGCATCCTGTTTCCATCATGAGGACATGAATTAAATACTTTAGTACATCACTGGACCTGTCAAAAATCTCATTTCTAAATAAGATGAGAGCAAGGGCCCCTTCCTTCCTTCCTTCCTTCCTTCCCTCCCTCCTTCCTTCCTTCCATCTGTCTATCTATCCATCTATCCTATCTATCCTCATGCCCACCTTGGGACTTGAACTCATGATCCTGAGACCAAGAGTCGCAGACACCACCAATGAGCCAGCCAGGCACCCCTTAAATTTTTTCTTCAGGGGTGGAAAGAAGTATAAAACATTAGTAGCTGCTAAAAGAATTGATTGATTCATATTTTAAAATTTAACTTTGCTTAATTTTATTTATTTTAGAAATAATTAGTCTAGAAAACTTTCTAATTACTATGTAAACCAATTTGGTTCAAATTAAAATGATTTAAAAATTTTTTGAACAATTAAAGTTGGTTTATGGACACTGTAACTTGCAGATTCTGATTTTTAAGTTTAGCTAAGTACCAGCAAATTGATAAAAATGTGAGAAACTGACTATTATCTTTTATGGTAGAGGAATAATAAGAACAAGAATAATAAGAACAAGAGTAAAACTTGGGTTATTATACTACTCATTTTTTAAAAGATTTTATTTATTTGAGAGAGAGAGAGAGAGAGTAAGAGAGAACATGAGAGCTAGGTGAAGGGCAGAGGGAGAAGCAGACTCCCTGCCTGAGTAGGGAGCCTGATATGGGCTTGGCTGGATCCTGATCTTGGGTCATGACCTGAGCCAAAGGCAGAGGCTTAACTGACTGAGCCACTCACGTGCCCCAGTGCTACTCATTGTTGAAGAAAACTTCTTATAGTTTTATTATATAAAATCTCCAGTGCAAGAGGAGGAAATTATCAGAATTTTAATGAGAGATAAAATTATAATTTAGAGGTGTTACACACAAATGATGAATCCTGGAACACTATATCAAAAATGAATGATATACTGTATGGTGACTAATGTAACATAACAAAAAAAATAAAAGTGAAATCTTGTCTTTTGAAAAAAAATAAAGTAGGAATTTTAAAAATTAGATTGTAATCCAGAATTACTAAAATAGTTACCTATATAATTTATATCTTTAGAGGTTTTTGCATTTTCTAAATTTTCCATATTTACATATTTATTTTTATATCAGAGGAAAGGATAATTAATAAATAAAAGGTGGCATCAAAACAGAAAATAAATCTAAAAAACAAACATGATTTTCTCATTTTATTTCCTCTCCCTGTGTGAGGGGGTGGAATCCCAGTTTAGTATGTCACATGACAAAGTGAATGAAATTTAAGTGTAAGGTAGTTCCAGAGACTTTTTTTTATTGACATTTTTAATTCAAGACACTTGATAAAAATTAGAGCTAAGAAGTGGACACACTACTTGCTTCATCTCTGATTGGGGCTTTGAAAAACCAGTAGCAGCAGCTAAAAGCCCATGCCAAGTATATTGGGCAATTTGGAATTGGGGATATTGATTTGACCTTAGGACTTGACTGATCCAAATGCCAAATTCTAATTTGAAAATGAAAAATGATGTCTGAGAAATGGAGTGATTTGGTGAAGCAAACAATGGATTCCTTGGTTAAAAATTTCACTCTTGGCTCTGCCATTGAGTTCCTGAGTTAACATTTGTGTAGTGGTTTCTTAATATGTTTTATTTTTTTTTAAGTTTTTTAAAGATCTATTTATTTGAGAAAGAGAGAGAGGGAGCAGAAGCAAGGGGAGGGGCAAAGGGAAAGGGAGAGTATCTCCAGCAGACTGATTGAACACAAAGCCTGATGGGCCGGGGGTGGGGGAGGGTTTGCTGGGTCTCAGGACCCTGAGATCATGACCGAGCCAAAATCAAGAGTCAGACACCCAACTGACAGCCATCCAGGCACCCCACTATGTTTTGAAACTAACAAATTTAGAGAATCCAATCATTTCTGTAGAAATACACACCAAACTCACTTTTGCTATAAATGACTCCATGATTTAAGCAGACTAGGGCAACTGCTTGTTCCATTATTTGTGCTAAAACCTAATTCATAAGGTCATGAATCGAAAAAAAAAAACCAAAAAACCTCTAAAGCTATTCCACAAAACGGAAGACGAAACAAAGTCTTAGAAACCCCAAATACTCAAGTTCCCATGTTTATGCCTATTTATGAAACTTGCCTACCTTCCAAGCTGATCTCCTAGCCACCCACCAAAGAATGATGCAATCATTCCACCAACGGCAAAGCTAGACACAGACAAAGACCAGAGCATGGTGATGAGGCTGGTAGATGCTGTAGTCTCTTCCTCTGCCAAAGGTGTTGGTATTGAATCCCCTAGGTATGGGACTGTGGTTATTTCCTTTGTACTGTTGATAGTATAGTTGTTGATAGCTTTTCGGTCATCCAGTGGAATACCCAAAATGTATCCATAATGGGATATTATTACCTGAGGAAATAAAATAAAAATAGCTCCAACATTTCAAATATTCTATACACCTTTTTTTTTCCTTTAGAATGTTTGTTAGCTGTTTAAAAGGGTCATCCCAATTATGTGTGTTTTATACACAAAATCATGGACAGATTTACTTATAGTTGACAATATTCTGTAAAACAGAGGTTGCAAATTCCAGTGCCCACAGGAACTAGGCAGGAACAAGTAAGTGAAGGAGAACCTTGATAACTAGAAGACTGAACTACTGTCTCTACTATTGAGAATATAAAAGAAAGTGGGCAAGATTATAGCACTGGAGAGCATTTGCCCCACCTAAAGAAGGAAGCTGCAAATATGAGACTAGTATTGCATGACCTCTAATTTTTAAAAAAAAGAAGCCAGAAATCTGGGTTTTTATGTAAAATTCTTCCAAGTTTTAAATGCAGGCAGTTATTCAAATTGAAAATATTCTGCAGACAGAAAGGTACATTTTCACACCAGTGTTACTACCTCTGCACAGCAAGGTTTAAATTGATTTATGTAAATATTCTAATAGAAGCATATGGCTATAAGAAAAAAGATTACTAAAGACAAGATGAAGCCAAAAATAAAGTTAGTATACCAAATATAAGCATTAGGTGCTACATCCTTGCTAGAAATATGCTACAAATTTACCAATAAACTTCCAGCAGCCAGCAGAAGTGGGGGAAATCAATCACATATATTGATGAATTTCAAAGTTAAGAACAACTCAGTGACCCCTGCGGAGGGATTGATACTGAAGGAGTTTCTTCCTCTGTGTCCTCACAGATTTCGGTATGTAATAGAATGAACATTCAAAACTAAGTTTCACAGAGCCATAGTTTATCCCATGTTCCAGTAGAGGCAAAGGTCCTACCAAGTATAATTGAGTAAAGTCACAGCCTTTGGGCTTCTTTCCTTGTCCTTCCTCTCAGTGCTGATTTGGTCGCTATTCAGTGGCATGAGAGGACCTCTGAGAAGGACCTGGAATGTAGCTGCTCTAGGCTGCCAGTCAGGGCGAAGCCTTATGTGGTAAAATCAGCTGAGTGAGGAAAGGGAATTGATATCCTCTTATGATAAAAGAAGTTTGACCAAGACATTTGCCTCATTAGCAGACCACTCTACATGGATAGTATGTACAGAAAAAAAGCTATAAAGAAATATCTGAAATGTTCCCAGCTGTTTGTTCTGTGCGGTAGAATAAGTATAGGTGATTTGTTCCAAATATTTTTTATAACAGGTATGTGTAGTTTTCACAATCATAAAAAGGTGTGATTTTAAAATAACCCTAAAATAGTGCCACGTGTCATCCCCCTAGCAAACACAAATGAAGCTGAACAACTATTCTTCTAGAATGATGTTTAAGGGGCTTGTTAAACACAGAAAGAGGGGCTCTAGAAAGGGCATCAAGCCTCATGCCAGTGGGGGAATCCCTATTTTCAAGTCTGGCTTGACTAATTTTCCTTCTCTTTCCCTGGAGAAGATGTTTAAATAGGATGGGAAAAGGTCTACCAAAAAAGAGGCTCTACTAATTCTAAATTACGGTGAAGCTGAACCAAATTTCAAGAAGGCTGCTAAATTGGCACATGTTGTCATCACCCACAAAAAAAAAGCTGTGACCCCCCAGCATTGTTATCGAACTCTCTCAACCTTGGAAAGACCACCACACTCGTGATAACATGTGCCATCCAGAGCCCAAGGAGCAACACTTTCAGGTGATAGACTGTGGTCAATACACATTTTCCTTGGAGTCCAACAGTTTAAGGGAAGCAGATGAAATATGATATATTCATAGAGGGCACCCAACAAATGCTTGTACCTTCATTTTACACCGCTCCCCCACCCCCAGGGCTTCTCTCCTCTCTCTCTCTCTTTCCTCACTAAACACTGTATTGAACACCTCCTTTATGCTAATCACTGTGCTTGGCGCTGGTGACAGGAAGGGGAAGAAGACATCTAACCTGCCCTAAATGACCTGACAGCCTTAGAGCAAAGGGAATGAAGTCTTGGTTCCCCCACTTACAGGCTGTGGGAGCTGAGAAAAATAACATCCTTCTCCTGTTTATTCATTGGGTACCAGAGTAGGCATGCACAAAATAAATAAGACAAAGGACAGAAATTATGCAATATTTTAAAAAACACCCATCCAAATAGTTACCGTGGAGAAATCCAAATTTTATTGGACTTCTTGACTATTACTTAGCAGTTATATATTATTTTACTTTGAACCAGCTAGGAGAGACAGAATTAGGGGGAAGGATAGGAACTTTTTTAGTGTTAGGGCTCCTGAAGTCTTTCATCTGGCTTACAATTGGGATAAGGTTTTTGGAGGTTAGACTAGGGAGAACATGTGTTAAAGCACCCGATGCACAGTGAGCTGGTGCCCAGTAAAAGTTTGTGCATAAAATGAAATATATCCTTCTATTGCCTCCTCCTATTCCCCAGCATTTTTCATTCATGTTTTTACTCATATATGGCTGGGAGCTCTGAATAAAGTCTGCAATAAGTTCTTAAGTTTTTCAAAACAACATCTGTAGGCACGTGTATTCCGGCTGGAGTTTTCTGTGAGCTCAGCAACAGCAGAGTCAGAGATCAAGAATCGGTTATTGCCCTTTCTTTTTTTGTGAGGGTTATTGAAGAGTCAAGGCCAAGTTATCAGCTTTGAAACCACGCACTTGGTGCATGACAAATACTGGGACTGCCCTAGATTTCCCACGTGGGTACACTTTATCTCTGTGTCTGAGGAACACAGATCCTTCAGTCACTGACAGAAATTGCCAAAAAAGAGATTTGAATTGAACACGTTTCACTTGCCTCTTGAGGTGCATTGATCACACCAATGTCATATCCAAACTGGAAGGAACCCAGTACAGCAGTGAAGACAGTGAAAACCAAGGTCCTGGTGATCTGTGGGGAATGAAACACAGGGCTGGGAAACACAAGGCAATTTCCATTACCTACCGTCCTGTCAGTCTGCAGCTTGGACTTCTGGCAGGCTCCACGGGCTGGTTCTTGCTCCTTGGTACTCATTCACAGTGTGCCCTATGCTCCCAACAGGGGTCATTCATACAGGAATGTGAGAGGCATTCATCAAAGGCCCTACATAAAGCTGAAAAAAGTTTGGGGCAATTTTTCCCAAGAGAGGAACCAAACATCCTTTTCCTTTCATATATATATATATGTTTGGTTATATATATATATATATATATATATATATGATTAAAAATCAGAACTGAAGACTAGAATTGCCACCGACCAAAGGAAACCACTGTGATAAAACCAGTCAATTTATATCATTTGGAGAGATAAAAAGATACCAGTAACAAAGACCTAGGTGTCCTGGGCATTGCTATGGTACAAAAACACCTCAAATCTCATAGAAGAGGCATCAGCCAGGCTTTATCATGACCACATCAACATCCTGGTGAGGATAATTCCTAAGATTTGCAGCTAGTTGAACCTAGAGTTATGGATTGAAGGATGTTATTTTCTCTCCAACTTCATGTAGCTACAAAACTCAGTATAGAAAGGGATAGAACATTCATTCCCTTCAACTCAGAATTACATGTCTAACCATCTTATAGAAATCATATCATCCATATGGAATCTCATATCAGGATATTTGATGCAGCATTGTGTGTGTGTGTGTGTGTGTGTGTGTGTGTGTGTGTGATAGCAAAAATTGTAGAAAGAACCAAAATGTCATTCAATGGAAAATACCCAGATAGATTCAAATACATCATGATACATACAACATGTTATGTTGCAGCTAAAAAGAGCAATGCAATCATTTTGTACTGACTTATTAAGTGACAAAGGAAGCTGTGTAATCTTATTACTTTTTTAAGAAGGCTTAAACCTGAGTATTCTTTGATTTGTGCAGGTTGCATGTAAGTCAGAATATTTTCTTGAAAAAATAACAAAAAGATGACCATTGAGGAGGAATATGAGACTAAAGAATGGGGATAAATGGGTATTTTTTCTTTTATTTATATTGTCAGACATTTTATAAAGAAATGATTTCTTGCATAGTTACATAATTTAAATTTAAATAAATAACATGGGATATTGTAGAAACTTATTGAACAAATGAATGAGTCATACCAACATGAATTCTAGTTCTCACTCTGATGTTTAGGGAGTATGTGACCCAGACCACTTTTCCTATAGGATCTTCAGTTTTTCTCTAAGTAGGGGGGAATGATTGTAAATCCCTACTCCAGCATGAAAAGTAGGTTATTAACCAAGTCCCCTCATTCCCTAATAAAGCTAGAGATCAGAAATTTCACATCATCAACAAATCACAGAACCAGCCTGAGACCCTTGAAGTTACGGAATCTAGGGGTTCTAAAACCAGATCCTCATTAGAGAGCTCGTTACAGGTGTAGCTTCCTGGGATTCATCCCAGACCTATGACTGGATTGGAATCTCTGCGGTGAGAATTGGGAATCTGTAGGTTTGTTCTATCTTTTTCCAGTAATTCAGAATTAATTTCAGGTGGCACGACTGTAGGCTTTTCTTCCCAGCACCTTTCTTCCTGAAAGGACTTAAAACTTTCTCCAAAGATATGATATTATATTATCCTAAAAGAAGCATATATATCATATATCATGAAAGAAGCATATATATTTCATATAATATACATTATATATTGAGATATGTCATTATGCATATACATAATAAAATAATTACAAATAAATTCAAAGTATGTTAACTATAAAATGTACCTGCGCGTACACACACACACACACACACACACACACACACACACACAATATGCTACATGGTATGGGATTACCAGAGATTTTGAATTATCCTTTAATGTGTAACTAGATATCTAATACCTAGGGCCTCAGGCATCCACAGCTAAAATGTGTTCCATTTCCTTGGTGGTTTCTCCTAAAGTCCTTTTTCCCCTTGAGCTGTTTTCAAGGACAGGCAATTTTATCCTTTCATTTTATTTGTAGGAAGTAACCATTAGCAGCAGTGAAGGGACCAGGAAGCACTTGGTAAGACTTCCACCCACTTCCCTGTTAGTCTCCATCACTACAGTCTAGACAATCTGATATTAGGTGCAATGCAAACACAACTTCAAGGCATAATACTGAATATTTCTGCCTACTGTTTGGCTATTCATTGCTCTATGTGATCATCTCTTTTAACTGTATCAGTTTTCTCTTGCAGCTATAACATATGACACAAGTTTGTTATCTCACAGTTCTTGTAGGTGAAAAGTCTGATACAAGTCTCACCACACTAAAATTGAGATGTTGGCAGGCTGTGTTCCTTTCTGGAGGCTGTTGGGGAAAATTTGCATTGATGGTACAATTCTGTTCCTCATGGCTGGAGTGTTTTTGTGCTGGCTGTAAAGTGAGGGCCATTCCCAGCTTTAGAGGCCACCACATTCCTTGGATAGTGGTACCCTTTCTTCATCTTCATAGCCAGAAATGGGCAGGTCCGTTCCTCACATTGTGTCTTGCTAATCCTGACTACAGCCGGAAAAGTTCTTCCCTTTGAAGAATTTATGGTATTAGATTTGGCCTATCTGGGTAATCCAGGTTAATCTTCCCATCTCAAGGTCCATAATCTTAATGACATTTGTAAAATCCCTTTTGCCTTTTAAAGTAACATATTTACACATTCCGAAGACCAGGTAGTGGACACTTCTCATGACAGCATCATCAGTATCCCTATTTTATAGATAACTAAACCAGATTTTGGTCTCACAGCCAGTAACTTGTACAATAATGATTTAGATCCAGGAGATATGCTTTTAATTAATTGGTTATTTTGCATTTCTCAATGGTCAGAAATAGACATTCAAAAGTCAAGCACATCTAAAAATCTAGGATCATAATCTTTCTAAATAAAAAAAATCTAAGAGAGCACATATTCATAGAATTTGCCAAGTGTAATGCTGAAACCAAATCACCAACACCCACCAGTTTCAAGTGCATTTTGCCACTACCCACCACACAAATCCCTTGTTCCTCATCTACCCACAGAAAACGTTTGTGATGTTTCTGTACAAAAATACAAAAAGGAAAAATCTACTCAACAGCTCATCTGTAGCTCAGTTGAAGAAGATCGTCATGGCCTTCCCACTACCAAGCCATGATATACTTACCCGGTTTCATCCCTGCATCTCCTTTTCTTCCTGTAGCAGAATGTCCAAGCACTTGGTGTCTTAGTGACTGCCCTTCCCACTCCATCCCTTGGCTTCTGCTCTCTGCTGGCTCTCTCCTCCTGCCCCCACCAGACAATCATATAGTTCTTTCCTTCCTTATTTTAACAATCCACCTAGTCACCATGCCAATGGTGAGCAGAGGTGCTATGGAAATGGAAGTTAGGGGTGAAGGTGGTGGCCATAGCAGAGTTGGTTCCCCCATAAGCTTCATTGGCCCTCCCCTGCCTCTCCAGATACACACACTAAGTCACAACAGTGTTAGCTGCTCCTACATTACTTTGATAAAAATGAAATTTAATTTTCAAAGACTGAAGTTCTTTGGAGCTCCTTTCTCATTAATTTCTAATCAAGTTGTTCTAAGTCATTACTGTAGCAATTCTGGGGCTGCCCCTAAGACCAAGTTCTCATATTATAGGAATAATAAAAAAAAGGAACTATGAAGGAAATAGAGTTTTTAAATGTTTAGAAATCTTAGAGTTCTTGTCCTATGGTCTTCCTGGCTTCTTTTTCAGAGTTGGCTTTGGTCTTGCCATCCTGGGGCAGGGAGGGGGCTGCAGTTTCCCCACTTTAATTTCTAAGATAGAAATTTTACCCTAGTTGGTCAGGTAAGGAACAATGTTATCAATTTTAAGAAGGTTACTTCAATTCTGAACTGAAGTGATAATCCCAAATATAGAAGTCTCTGAAACTTTGTATCTTTCCTTCTTCCCTTTCTCCTTCCTCCTTCCTCCTTCCTTCCTTCCTTCCTTCCTTCCTTCCTTCCTTCCTATCTTCCTTCCTCCCTCTCTCCCTCTCTTTCTCTCTTTCTGTTTTATTTCAGGTTTATTTTCCCTCTCTGAACCTTACCTTAAACTGGCTCTTTGCTTTCCATCTTTTCTTTTTCTGTCATGAAGGGAAAGAGATAACATTTATAGTCAATCTTCTATGTGTCTTGGTACTAGGCTTGGACAGAAGAGTTTTGTTTCTGAGAGGAGAAATTTCTGAAGACTGCTAAGTCTGAATGAGCCCATCAGTTCTGCTCATTAATTTAATGTGTAAGAAGTTGACTCAAGGTTATGTACATGGGAGCTGATGAAAACAGTGAGAACTTAAGATCTTACTTTGTCCAGGCTCTGAGTTCTAAATGGTTTGCTTGTTCTTTCAACAACTCTCTAAGTAGTAGTTACTGTTATCACGTCACATATGGAAAAATCAGTACACAAAGGGTAAGGAACTTGTCCAAAGCCACAAACCTAACAAAGTGGCTGAAGATCTTCAAGCTTTGTCTCTCACCTCTTCATAGGCTACCAGATATAAAGCCTGACTCTTAGCAAGACCACCTTTGCTTAGAGCTTAACAATTTTAAGTTAGAGAAACTAGGTTCCACATCTAATGAAAGACATGCCACAGGATAAATGTGGGAGTACACAGATTGGGCAAGTGGGTTGTTAATGCATGGGATTATGGTAAAGATTAAATAAGATACACGGTGTGGTCTTCCTATAATGAAAGGGCTAATAAACAACTGCATCTTTAATCACATTAGCATATCATTTATCTCTCTTGTCAACCAACTACCTGTCAGCTTTTCATACCTCACCAATAATCTTCACAACAATACTACAAAGTAAAAGAAATTATCCCCATTTTGCAGGTGAGGAAACCAGGGCTTATAGAAGATGGAGTGATATGCTCAATACCATACAGCTAGTAGGTAACAGATATTCTAGCGTTTGAACCCAGAGCCGGTGTTCTTAAAACTCCCATTTCTAATCAAAAAGCAGATTTTCAGGAGCTACAGACTAAGTAGGGAGGAGAAGCTGATGTCTTTCCTCTAAACTCCATAGCTCCAAATGCCAACCTAAAGGTGATCTTGCACCCAACTTTGGGAGCACCCAACTTTGGGAGACTCCAGGGGCCTCTCAAGCCATAGAAATTTCATGCTGAAAGGGACCTTAGAGAACAGAGGATTCTAGTCTAATTTCTTCATTTTTCACTTGAAGAAACTGAATTCAGATCCTTTGTCTGAGTTATACCGTGCATTATTGGACATATTCAGTGTGAGAACTCAGGTCACTTAACCCTCAGTTCCATGCTTACCCCACTTCTTTCAAAGTCTGGGCAGATTTACAAAGCTGAAACATCGTGCTTTACATCAATTCTCATTATTTCTGGCTTCCATTGTTAGGCAGGTCCTTGGTTCTCAAGAAAAGTCCTACAACAATTTCTAAAGGGAATTTAGTGGTAGTTCAAAATGAAGCTTGAGCATTCACAGTGTATCAGACACTGTGGTAAGCACATTACCTTCCCTTTTGCAATATCTTATATACTTTAGTTATTTGAACACTACCTTAATGATTTTCATCAAATCTATATACTATCTGTATAGTTACTAACTTAATATTTGCGTTTGTATCATCTTTAAAATGCTAACTACATTAGCTTTATCCTTGGCTATAATAGGAAATCTTGAAGTCCTAGTTATTTTTAAAATACATCATATAAATACTTAACTATTAACATTAAAATGTTTGTCAGCTGTGTCTCTCAAATATTAGCTCATTTGTATATTCCCAGACTATAAAGAACTATTAGACTCCCTGCATTGCTTATCTTATATCCTCTTATTATATCCCCATATGTTCTTATTTTGTCACAATATAGAAAACCCAAGCTCAGTTAAATAAACTTTGGTCTCACAATAGTTAAGTAGCACCAGCATACTCGAAATCCAAACCTGGCAAAGCACAAAGTCTGTTGTCCTAGCCTTGTCACTTACTCACTTGAAATGCTCAGCAGAGTAAGTTACAACAGATCAGAACTTCAGATATCCTACTCCAAACAGGGCCACAGATTTACCTACTCGTGTGATTGTGTGAAGGGGTGGGCGTGTTTGGTTAGGGAAAACTTAAAAGGGAACGACAGCCCTATGACCTTTTCATTTTTAAGTTTTTATTTTGGAAAGTATCATATCTGCAGAGAAGCTGAAAAAGTAGGGCAATGAACACTTCATAACTTGTGTTCGGGAATGGTTGACATTTACATCTAGTTAACTTTCACTATGTATGTGTGGGAATGCACAGGTATGTATGTAGTGTGGTTGGAATTATTTGAAAATCAGTTGCAGATATTAGTGTCACTTCATTCCTAAATACTTGAGCACATACTCACTAAGAATGAAGACATTCTCCCACATAATTGCAATACCATCATCACATCCAAGAATGTAATAGCTATACTAATATTATCTAATGTAACAGCCCATTTTAAAAATTTCCCAACTGTCCCCATATTGTCCCTTACACTGTTTTCTTCTTTCCTGATCTGAGATCACTTTTTGCACTTAGTTGTTAGTTCTTAGTCTCCTTTTATCTAGAACAATCCTTCTATCTCTTGTTTTTCATTCATTGTCATTTTTAAAAATTTCAGACCGATTTTCATAATTAGTTAGATTCAGGTTAATCTACCCTTTTTTTGCACATTTCTTCAGTAATATGGTTATGCAGAATTTTCTTCAGAGAAAGTTATACAGATTGTTCAGAAAACAGAGTAAATATCCTTAAAATTCTGAATAGATATATAATCCTGATTATGATATATATTTTAGCAGCTGAATGAACTATCAGTTGGCCAAGAGAAGTAGCTTCAACCTGTGGTCGCTATACCCAACATCCCCCAAATCCTCCCTATGGTCACCATTGAACAAATCCCCCTGTTCATTTCCTCAGGCCAATTTAAAATGAACATAATGCTGCTTTACCTTATCTTCTGTCATTTTATCGGTTGAGAGTCCTCCTCTTAATTCCAAGTCCTGGGGTGAGTGTGGCCCATGCAACTGGCCAGCACCTGCCTTTCTCCGGCTTTCTACTAGTTATACATTAGAGGAGGAGGAGCAAGGCAAGGAAGCAGGCTGGCCATTACCTTTAAAGTCCAAGTCTAATTTCAGCAGAGGCTGAATGTTGAGGAGAATCTAATCAATAAATGTTTTGCCTTAGTGACTTGTGGCTTCAATGCTTGTACACCAGCAAAAGAAAATGGGAGCAGGTCCCTCAGGTGTAAGTCACAACCCAGAGACGGTCACACTTTAACACATGTTGAGTATGGCAGTAACCAGGGACAGGTGAAAAAAGAAAATCTTTGTGGACTTTTATAGAAGATGAGATGCTGGTTGACATTTCATGTTGTGGGGGTGACAAAGACGAGGGACATGGGAGAAGTGCTGCACTCTTGTCTGCAGAGAACCAGTACTGTGGTGTTTTTGCTGTAGAGCTGGGCTGCATGGCCAGAGGCCATTGTAGGCTTGAGTGGTTTACCCAAATGAGCTTTGGAGAGCCATGAACTTGGGTTTGAATCTCAAAATTTTGCTGGTGGTATTACCTTAAGCAATTGGCTCCCAGTGCCTTTTCTGTGCCTTAGTTTTTTTCACTGAATAAAATGAAAATAACAGAACACACTTCATTTTGCTATATGGATTAAATATGATAGGAAAGTGGTTAGCCTAGTGCATAGTAAGTGCCCAGCAAAATGTTGGTTGTTATTGTTTTTGCTATTATTATTATTGGTTTAGTGTATGTTGAGAGGTGCTTGTTGGAGTGTAGAGTTCTCAAATGTATCTGCTCATTTGGCTTAAGTCTGTGCCTTTCTTGTTCTTCTTCTTCTTCTTCTTCTTTTTTTAAGATTTATTTATTTTTTAAGAGAGAGCAAGCGAGAGAGAGCCCGAGCTGGGGGGAGGGCAGAGAGCAAGGGACTAGCAGACTTTCCACTGAGCAGGGAGCCCGATGTGGGGATGTGTAAGTGGATCCCAGGATTCTGGGATCATGACCTGAGCCAAAGGCAGAGGCTTAAGCGACTGAGCCACTCCGGGCACCCCAAGTCTGTACCCTTCTGTGTCTCCTCTATAATGTTCAGTCCCTGTGGGAGCCCAGACAGTATCAAAATTTGTTGAGCTTGAACTGTGTTTGGTGACTATTATCACTGGTTCCCCTGAGGCTTAGGTGGAACCAGTTCCCAGCAGAGGAGATACTTAACAGACAGCCCCCCAAACCAGGGATGTTACGAAGAAGCAGACAGTGACAAAAAGTGAAGAGGTTTTTTGTTTTTGTTTTTGTGACAAAAAGTGAAGAGGTTTTTTGTTTTTGTTTTTATGACAAAGTGAAGAGGTGAAGGAGACTCTGATTTCATGTGTCTTTTATTTCCCCACGGCCCTTTCATTTCTATTACCTCCGTGGAGCAACCCAGCTGAGTAAATAATTCAGCTCAAACCACAAACTTGAGCCCAGCACAGTCCCAGGCTCTGAGATACATGAGATAAATAAGACACTTAGGAGTTCATAATGTTTAAGAACACACAAACGGAATCACAAACACTCAATAGAGGGTTGTGTTGTTGTTGTTTTTTTTTTTTCTCAGTAGAAAAACACTAATGAATACTATTAGTGATAGTTAATCTTTACTGAGGTGTTGCTTGTTGCCAGGTGCTGCTCTCAGCATTTTACATGGATTAACTCATTCATCAACATCCGTTGTAGAGCTAAGCTTTGGGGAGCAAAGTTAGCTCAGTTAGCCCACACTGGCATCAGTGCACAGCCAGCGCCTGGCTCTGGGCGCCAGTTTCCGCTGGTGATGCGCAAGCCCTTTCTCAAGAGCGTCCGCAATGAGAAGAGGATTTCTTAGCAATCATTTCCCAGTGACGGAAAATCCCAGCCCTGGGAGGACTGCCATCCATTGACACTGCAAGAAAGTCTTTGGGCGGCTGTGAAAAATGAGTTACCTTCTGATTTGTGCCAACCTTGTTTTTTGAATCTTCCTTTTGACAGACAGAATTGGGCTTGAATGCGGCGTGGGGTCCGGTGAGCCTTTAACTTCTCGCTCCCGGTTGGGGCTGCGCGTGCGTGCTGGGAGCTGCCCGCCTCCTCTCGCTGAGAGCGCTGTAGCTGACCCGGACAGACGCAGGACCTTGATCCCCCAGACCAGCTTCCTCTGGTTTCGCCAGTCCTCCCTCGTTCCGCTCCTGCCCGCGAATGAGTGATTTCTGCACCACGAAGGAAGGGACGGGCTTAAGTTGTCGGGGTGGGGGTGGACGGAGTCAGCCGCGGTGATTGCGTCGGTGGATTTGAGCCCTGGGAGGACTGCAGTTTCATTTCGGCCTCTCCGGAGAGTTGGCCGTGCGCCCGGAGGAGCTGCGGGTCCGATTGCACGGAAGCATCTTCGTGTTTCCCTGGCTGTGATAAAGTCAGGTTTTTGTGTTTTGCTCTTGCTGGGGGCCGCTCAGAGAGGTGCTTCCATGCACAGAATCACCAGGAGATCTGGGCTGGGTGGGGTGAAACCGGTTCTGTGTGGTTGTTCTTGAGGCTTCACACCGTAAACCCGTTAGGTCAGATTTTGATTATATCTTGATTAATTTAATCTTCCTAATAGATAGCAATAGCTCTAGGTGGTGAGAGTTTCCAAGTATAGAAAAGAGCCCCTTCTTTTTTCATTCTTCTTCTTTTCTGTAACACCAGACGTAAGCTTATTTCTATAAAAGGGAAGAAAGAAAACCAGCGATCCCAGCATGCTCTCTCGTTGGGGCAGGTAATGCAAAGGCATCTCGGGGGAAACCAAATCAAGTAAGTTCAAACTGGGCCAAGTAGGAGCGCAAGGGAGTACTGGAAACTCCTTGTCCCCGAGGAACTCCAGTGTATTTTAAGATTTCTGAGTGAGGGGCGCCTAGGTGGCTCAGTGGGTTAGGCCGCTGCCTTCGGCTCAGGTCGTGATCTCGGGGTCCTGGGATCGAGTCCCACATCGGGCTCTCTGCTCGGCAGGAAGCCCGCTTCCCTCTCTCTCTCTGCCTGCCTCTCCATCTACTTGTGATCTCTCTCTGTCAAATAAATAAATAACATTAAAAAAAAAAAAAAAGATTCTTTAAAAGATTTCTGAGTGAGATTTGCCCTCATAGCTTGCCTCTTCTCACCCTCTCTAGGTACTCTCTCCTCCAAGCCACCAGCATCTGTCCTGACTTAACTACCTGGCCTCCCTAGCCCCATTCCTACCCTACAGCCCCTTTTGACAGAAGAGCCAACAATGATTTTAAAAATTAAACCAGACCATAACCCCTTTTGCTTAAAACTATCCAGAGGATTCCCAGTTACCCTCAGAAGGAAACCTACATTCTTTACTGTTTCGGGAGAGGCAGATTTGGTGTAACATTCATTCGTTGATGCTGAGACCTCTGTCCCGCTCCTCTCCTCCTCTGCTCAGCTACACTGGCCTCAGACTTGTTTAACATGTTCCAGGCCCAGCACCTTTGTACCCCATTGGCCTCTGCCTAGAGCTGTCTGTCCCAGATTTGTATGTGGCTGGCACCTCTGCATTCAGAGGACAGCTCAGACTCTCTAACCAGGCTTCTTAATGTGGATATCACCTATCCCTTCCAACTCATTCTCAATCCTGTTACTCTGCTTTATTTTCTTCATAGCACTTATGCTTGAAATTTTGTTTACTAATATTTTATAATTAAAACATTAAACATTAAATATTTAAATAATAAATCAATGAATAATAATTATAATGATATAATTGTTATCTGTAACATTGTATTAATAATAACAAAAGATTTAATTATTTAAATATTAAAATTATTTTAATTAAATTTTATTGTATTATTTACTTGTCTATTATTTATTATGTTCCACTTTCCCCACCATATCTAAGTCCCATGAATGTGGAGACCTTGCTCATTTTGTTCGTTCCCGTGCCTGTGAGAGTGCCTGGTGCATAGTAGGCACCCAGTAAGTATTTATTTAATAAATGAAGGAAGTTCAAGAAGAGTTGCCGCGTGCTTTCTTGCAATGGGGGAAGAGGAGTTTAAAGCTGGCATTGGACATTTATTGATTTAACATTTAATAAATGCAGTATTTGCACTGCATTTTTCTAGGCATCAATTACAACAGGGAACGGAACAGATAGGTCTCTGCTCTTATGGGGCTTACATTCTATAAAAGAAACAAAATGCGTACTGAGGAAGAGACCAACAGGGTGTGCCCACTTTAGAAAAACATGTTCAGAAAAATGTTCTTTGAAGACTTGTCTTTTTCCTTGATACCTGAAGAATGGGCAGTAGGGGTGGAGGGGGGAAGTATGTGCCAAACTTAAGGCAGGGAAAATCTTTGGTTGAAGAATAAGAGAAGTTGGGTTAAAGCAAGGGAGCAAGAGAAAGTGGCAAGGGATGCTATTGGGGAAATAGCCACTATACTCAGGACCTGGAAGAGCCATGGGAATCAACTTAGATTCATGCTAAGGGTAATGGGAACTCCGTGGAGGGGATTATGCATGGAAGTGATACGATCTATTATATGTTTTAAGATTACTCATGCTTTTGAGTTAGGGGTGGATTGGATGGGGGCACCCATGAAAGAGGAGAGGCATAATTAATTGCAAGGCTCTTACAACAGTTCATACTTGCTATTGACCACCAAAAATAATGGTGGTAGCAGGGAAGGAAAAGTAACAAATTCAAGATATATTTTGGCAATGAAGATGGACTTTTTCCTAATTGTTTTGGGAGAGAGAAAACTTAGAATGGAAGATAGGTTTCTGGCTTGTTAAATTGGGAGAATGGACGTTATTTAATGTTACAGGTGCTGGATGCTTTATTCATCTGAGTGATCATCTAAGCTCATCTCCCAGACCTCAAGGAGGATTGCAATAAAATAATCAAAATACATATATATTTACTTTTTCAAAGTTAAACTTTTTAAAAATAATTTTAGTTTCACGTGTAGTTGTAAGAAGTAACACAGAATTCCCATATACCCCTTACCCAGTTTCCCCCAATGTAACATCCTGTAAAACTACAGTATAATAT